TAATATATTTATAACGAACTCAAAAACACAAGATGAATACTAATTAACAATCTCCCCTGCCAAATTATCATAATGTAAAAAAAAAAAAAAACACCATAAAACTATTTTACAGAAACCATCTACACAGTAACCAGAAGGTATGAGAAAAATACATCGATGCATATCGCCTATTGACAAAAGTAGAGAAATCAAAAAGCTAATGATCACCACTAATGATGCAAATACCCCCCACCATGCACACACAAAAAAAGTCAAAACTTTATCAAGCCTACTTGGAGAATGGCTCTCTAATAATAATTCATATAGCACATACATTTGTTACACAACCACTACATTATCACACCAGTCAACTTGCCACTTATTCACACTATTAGAGCTTTAGTTGAGTATCACTAACAAGCATAATAATAGAATGCAAAAATTCGACAAATCCTTATCAATAACATAAAAATGCTATATCACATCAACTGTCAAAAAAAAAGCAATTACAAATGCTAGTGGCATTAATCATAAAAAGCAAACAATCCAATATATAAATTAAATTTTAATTTCAAATTTATCCACAAACATACCAAGTATTTAATAAAAATAACACATGAACTGATGCATGAAGATGTGATACCTAAAAAAAAAAAAAAACATGGCATGTGAAGACGTGATATTTAAAAAAAAGATGATAATTTAAATAGTGTCTATTAGTTTTTCTCACAAAAAGGAAGATAACCTATTCTCCAAGTTGATGCAAAGCATCCTTGTGTCTGCCAAGAATTCTTGAGACTCTTGAGAAAGACAAGGAAATGAAGGTTAACTAATTTTAGGAAGCAAACAGATGGCACAAAACAAGCAGAAAATTTGCAGTCAGGCAAATCTCTCAAATGGAAACATTGTCCAAATACACAAGCCTAGAAAATTTTTTTTAGTGTTTTTATTGCTTGATAAGAGTAAGGTATTTTGTGCAATACTTTGGGTAAGTAATCCAGCCTTTTTAGTTGTAGGGCCTACTTCAGTGAGCGATACTGATGCCAATACTTCAGCTGCATCATTAGGATTTTTTTCCGGGCGGGTGATACAGAGATAGCCAGAATTTTGAATTCAGGTTTTTAAGGGAGGCAGATCTTTTCAGTTGGAGAATATGTGCAAGACAATCATTGTGTTTACAACTTTTTATTTAATTTTTTTTTTTTTTTTTTTTAATTAAGGTTCAAGGTTCATCCTTTACAAGGGCTGGGAGCCACTCGAGGTAGAGGGTTACATTAGGAGGCAATTTGTGTGGATAGGAGTGAAAGATAACAGTTAACCCTAGCCTTGAACAGGTTAAGATTGTAGTGATCATGGGAAACAACCTCTCAGGAGTTGATTCCACAGAGAAATGGTTCGCAAGTAATCAGAATGTTTGTAAAATTTGGCTGTACTTGTGCACAAAAGTTTACAACATTTTTTTAAAACTGTTACCTACCATGTCTATAGTTTTCAAAAGAGAAAGCTCTGGGAACTTACACACACACACACACATACACACACACACCTCCATGTAATAATAAAAAAAAAAAGTTTTTTTTTTTTTTTTATTGTAGTTAGTTTTTCACACCTGTGCCTTAAACGTGTTTTGGCTACACTCTTCTTTCATACATTTGAACTTTTCACCCACTGATTTGCAAATATCTTTGAACAGTTTATTATTACTGTAACAAATACATTACCACCTGGCACTGAATGTGTTGGTGGTGCAGTGGTTAGTGGCTCGGAATGAGAAATCTGAGAGCAGTTCAAATTCCAGAGGTTTGTTAAATTCATTTACACACATATACCCTTGGGGAAAGGCATGAATCCATCTCCTCTCCCAGCCATGGAATAGATAGAAAGATTTGTATCTGGAAAAAATAATTGTTATTCTCAAAAAGTTCTTAATGCAGTATTCTTACAATCCTAAATGCTTTATAAATACCTCAGAGTTGATCAGGTGTTAAAAAAAAAAAAAAAAATATCAATCAACCTGCCCATGCAAGTAAAATGAGTATAGTTCTATCACTTTCCATCGCATTTTATGCACTGTGTCCTTTTCGGACCTAGATGATCTCGACAATCTACTTCATTTTTTTTTTTTTTTTTTTATCTAAATGACTTTTGGCTCATGACCATTATTGTTCCACTATCCATTCACTAACTCCTTGGACAGGTTACTCACTGTTTCACTTACTTTTAACATGTTCTGTGAGTGTTATATTCTCCAAGCCATCTTTCCTCATTATATCCCAAAGATTTCCTCATCGCTCATATATTCTGATTATGATATTCATAGAATTCATTTGTAGATCCACGTCTGTCACTTCAAGTCTTTCCATCAGTAACATTAACTTTTGTTATAGGTGAATATACAATATCTGTCTATATTTCTAAGATGAGGTATTGTAATTATTTACATTATTTACATTCTTCAATCTGTTGTCCTCATCTTTTTTGACATAGTCACAACGTTTCAGTTGTACTTTTCGGCCTCCTTCAGGTGATTGGAATTTGGAATTGAGCTTTTTATTTCATCCACCAGGGTAGATTGTTCTAGTTCCACATGCTATGCTTCTTTCGAATGTCACACTTATCTCCCTTTAGCTCATCTCTCCAAGTTTTGTTCTCAAGGATACATAGCCCAGTGGATAAAAGCATTGACTTGAGTTGTAAGTTCAATAGCTGACTACTGTAGTGGTGAACAAAGTTGAGTTAAAGGGAGATAACTGAGACACCCGGAAGAGGCATAGAAACCGTAACTAAGGTCCACTCAGCATAATTGCAGTATAAAAAATAAGCTGGCTTTGTGAATGTTCAAGAAACACAAATGTGCCTGAGCGGGAGTCCACAATAGGGATTAGCTAGCCAACCTTGTGAACAGGTATACTAGGATACGAGCAACCAGTCATATATTGTGAAATATATGACTGCACTGCATTCCCTCTGGCTTTGCAGACATAAAATTGTATCCCTGCAATGAGAGACGGTTTTGTCTGGAGTATGAATTCTTGGTCACCAGGCCACTTGTTTTATGACTGCCCACCTGCAGACAGGTTATTTAATAGTTAAAAGAAAAGAAAAATGAAAACTTATGTATATATAATGTGAGTATATCTAGACACATGTTAATTTTCTTAGTGCGTATACCAAAAAGTAACAATTACTCTTTTCAGCTGCAGAAAATCCTGGCACCAGTTTATAATTATTTACTTTATTTTATCCTTCTTCAGAAAGACTTGCTTGCCAGGATAAATGTGTCCTGTTCAATTTTGGTGGGAAACATTCTTCTCTTCAGTGCTGCTTCATGAATAGGGACATTTGGGTATTATGATACAAAGCAACTGAAATTAAGATTTTTAAAAAAATCATTAATAGAAAATACTTCATTTAATAAATTCAAATAATAATAACTGTTTAGAGTTGCTTACAAGCAAATAGCATGTCATGTCTCTTCATTTCTACCATTTACTGCGGTTTTTAAATATATATATATATATATATATACGTTTCATTAAATAATATAGACAAGTGTTGTCTATTTATTTTATGTAAAATTTGTTCGTAACATCTGATAAGTTTGATAACATTATCATTAAACGAAGAAAGAAATTCACAATATTGATCCATATTTTTTTAATATAATCTAAGCTTTCGGCTTACTTAAGCCATTATCAAAGATGTAAATCACAAACATATTAAACAATATACGGTATATATATAGTGAGAGAGAGGGGGGTAATTTCAAAGAGAAAAACCTTAGTATCTGTCTATATTTCTGAGATGAGTCATTATGTACACTATTTACATTATTAGGACTATTGTTCTCATCTTTGTCGCCATGTTTATCGCAACGTTTCGGCCTTCTACAGGTAGTTGGAATGTCGAACTGAGCCCTTTATTTCGCTCACTGTTCTAGTTCCATGTCTATATTATCTCCTGTTAATTCCCCTCTTAACCAGGTATTGAACTCACATTCTTTAGGTCCTGTCACTGGATCTAACTAACGCCTTTATCCACTGTGCCATGTGTCCTTGGGGGAAAACAAATACAAATGTAAGGTTTTTCTTTGAAATTTTTCTTAATTATATTGCTCTGTATAATTTATTATTCTCATACATTGAGTTCTCTACTAGGAGTTTTACCTGGATATTTTTTACTGACTATCCACATAACCAAAGGAGATTTTATATATATATATATATATATATATATATATATATATATATATATATATATATATATATATATACTAAGTTAAATGGTGCTTTAAACACAGATGTTTCCGTGACTCTTGAAACAGACATATCTACTCAGTTTCGTATCCTAACGTAAACAAAGCAATTTGTAAAGAAAGGGGTGGTTTATTTTTTTTATTTATTAATCCCACAAATTTTTATTACTTAAAAGTTATCTTTAGTGGAATACTTATATTTCAGTAGACGCTCCGTTTATTTATTAAGCAGTATATCTATTTTCATGTATCTGCCTGAATATTCGAGAAATCTTATTAGAGAAAAATATACGCCCTCTGGCAGGATTCGAACCTGCGTTCCCCTAGGTGAAACGGTCATTAGAACTGACGTGCTTTGAGTGCGTCGATGACCACGCAAAGTTTGAATAGTGCCTTTAAACACAGTTGTCGCTAAGATTTTTTTATAACTTCAAACATTATTCTTAGTTGATAAAAGGCATAATATGCACTAAACATGACGTTTGATTGATTGGTTCGTCTTCTACGGATTACTAACACTTTGCAGGTTATTTAAAGCCAGAAAATATTTTTAGATTGTAAAATTTTATTTTTTATTTTTATTTTTTTTTTAAAGATAATAATTCTTTTAGTGATACAAGTCTTACTAATTAACCCATAGCTGGGGTAGAAGAGTTGACTTTATACCTTTCTCAAGGGCTTTTGTGCATAAGTGAATATAAAGAACTCCATGGGAATTGCAACTCTGCTCTCCGATAAACAATTCTGAACTATTATCCCTTATACCAGCCACACCTGTTATTCCCAAGCGGTCCCCCTTTTAGTTACTGATCAAGTTCGACATTGCTTAACTCCGGTGATCGTACAGGAACCGGTGTTTCAACGTGATGTGGCCGTAAGATATATATTTGAAGGCCCATCTGTTGAATTCACTTTTGCACAAATGCACTTTGAAAAGGTATGAACCCGTCTCTATTTAACTTAACTCAGCTGAATAGACTGGATTCTCGTAGCTTCGGGTGCTCGTTTATCATGAAGACAACATATAAAAAATCTAGACAAAACAGTGATCATCTACATTCTTGAAGGAATATAACATTTAAATATACGGAGGTAATATTTGGGGAGTCAGACTTAGATTCGACGACCCCTGCATATATTTATCACAAATTTCTCTTTATTCTGTTTAGTCAGCTAAACATCATTTGACTGTAGAGTTTTTTTTTCTGCTTGCTTTCATTTTTTTTTTTATTTCTTTGAATGATAGAAAAATTAACTTCAATGGTTTTGTTCACCACCACTAATCCAGGGTACCCCAGTTATACCTTCCAATATCACCAAGCTTTATTGATGTTCCGTCACCAAATCCATGCCTCCTCTGTATATGAATGAAAAGATCTCTCATTTGTCTATTCTGTATCTTCTTTCTAAGGATGTAGCATAAATACCACTTATGAGGCTCATCTTATGTTGCTATGGGGTAGATTCTTTTTATTGCTCTCCCCTCTATCTATGCTTATAACTACAGCATCCAACCAGAAGGATATTGTAAACTTTTTTGTTGTTGTTGTTTTTTTTTTTTAATTAAGTCTGTTACATGATTAAGACTGACTTGGCCTTTATCCAAAATAGACTATTGGCTGATACCCAAGAGAGATAATTGAGTCAAGTTCATTGCTTTGTAATTAAAAGAAATTAATTATAATCATAAAATTAATTATTCCACTTTAAAATGTTTTTGCAATATTCTACGTTTTTGTGTGTAATATGCAATTTTATATGCCAAATATTTTGAAAGTTATAAATATACCATTTTCTATGAGTTTGTTTTATAGGGCACTATATATATATATATATATATATATATATATATATATATATATATATATGTGTGTGTGTGTAATAAATTGTATAAACTGTCGCTATCAGAAAATATTTATTTTTATGACACGGGTCCATAGGCTAAAAATGTCAAAGAAAATTTTTTTTCAAATTGTCTTACGTATTTACCATTCTATCGAATTCCCCTCTCCTATGAAATAACTAGTTATTTCTTTCCTAGTATGCTTATCTGCCAGCTAGCTATTTACACTGTTCGGGCTGTTGTCCTCACTTTTTTTACCATATTCACGGCGTTTCAGCCGTTGTACGCTTCGGCCTTCTTCAGGTGGTATTAGTTTAAATTTCGAACCGAAACCTTTATTGGCCCGGTGGATAAAAGTGTTGGTTGAGAGATCCAAAAGTGACTTGACCCAAAAAGTTGGGAGTTCAATATCTGGCCACAGCAGAAGTAACAAAAAACTTGGAGAGTTAACTTACCAATGGGAAATAACTTATACCGAGATATCCAAAAGGCATGACAAGTGGAATTAAAACAATCTACCCCCCGTGGACTAAATAAAGGTTCGGTTCGAAATTCCGATAAATACCACTTGAAGAATGCTGGAATGTACAGCAGCCGAAACAGTCGTGATTATGGTAATAAAAATGATAACAATCCGAACAGTAGGGTAAATAGTTACCGTAGCTCATCTCAAATATAGACAGAATCTAGCTATTTATTCCGTGTTTGAGTCGCTCATTTGTTTCTTCAACTCGCAGAACTAATCTATGGTTTATACTATCACTGTGCAAAGAAAATTTTAGGTAGAGTTTCTGGGAGAGGCCGCACAATGTCATGTGATCAGGTTTTGAAGAAAGCCAATACTTTGGGTCAGTATATATATATATATATATATATATATATATATATATATATATATATATATATATATATATATATATATATATGTGTGTGTGTGTGAAGCATTTCAAGACAAAAACCATCAAAAATTCGAGTGAAATAATCTGATGATTGGGTTACCAATACGCAATTAATGCCTAAAGATCTATTATTATTATTAGGCACATTAGTCCCCTGATGATCCAGAATTAATTATACATAATGGTCAAAAGTTTTGGGTCACCCTATGTATTTTATAATTAGTAACTCTTATAGCTTCTTTGGTTTAATTAACTTTTAAGCTATCATGCTAAAACTATTTAACAAACTTGTGCATGGCACTCAACATTTTTTTTCTTAGAGAGATTACCTAAAATTTTAAATCTGCCGGCCCCAAGATCTACCATTAGCCAAAAAGGTAGACTGGGAAAAAAGAGCTAAAAGTTGAAGGAAGCTTTATGCAATACGGAGTTAATCTCGTTATCATTACCATCAGAAACATTATCATTGAATATATCAGTGTTTCTTCACCTTTTTTTTTTAAAGCAACGGCACGCCTCGAAGCATATAAAAATATGACGGCGCACTTTGCTAAATTTTTAAAGGGTATACATTTAAATGTTATGAAATAAAACCATGTATTTTTCAAAAAATACACACGCAAATATGAACTTACTTTATTTCAATGTTTCTATTCAACTATTTGTGCAGCTTATTCATTTGTACAAATAATAACGCTGTAACATTACTACACACACACAGTGACAATATTTCGCGGTACACAAATGATCGCGCGGTATTCTAGTGTGCCTTGGCACGGCGGGCGGTTGGGAATCACTGGAAATTATGATAAAACCTTTCAAGAAGAGAAAATATCTCTGGCCGGAAGTTAGCTAGCAAATTAGTTTTGAATAAGCCGCGGAATCTTGAATTTTCAGGCAATTGTTCGAAATTCCGAGGATATCCCAAAACTTTTGACCTATAGTGTATACAATTATCAAAGTATAATTACAGATAAAAATGATATTAAAATGTAAAAAAAAAAAAAAAAAAAAGTTATATATATATATATATATTTTCTAGAATATAGATTCCAGGAAACACGATACACCTCTAAAACAAAAAATAATTAATACTAGTAAAATATATAAATCAATATGAATTCCTTCCTCCCATGAAAATTAATTTAAATACACAAGCAATAAACTGTTTTTTGTATAGTGTTTATGGAATCCTTTTTATTAACTTGCCGTTTGTATAAAATATAAATATAATTCAAATGAAAGCAAATTTATTCAAGATCGATCATATTTTGTTTAGAAAATCTTAACTTTTATTTCCTTTCTTCAATGCAAAGGTTAATACATTTATGTTCTCCAACGATATTCTGCAGTTGTTGTTTTTAGCCATAAGGCCAATTATAATATATTAATGTCTTCGGAGGAAAATTATAAAACTAACTGTATTCAAAAACTAAACTAGACAAAGACTTTAGAGACACGACACAAGTTGACTTATAGAATCTGACCTGCGAGTTTCCAGTTATTTAACTTACAAAAAAAAAGCCCTTAGGCGTCTGGAGAGTCGTTATCACCTCCATTCTGAAGGGACAGGATATTAACATAGATAAATAAAACATTTACTCACATAAGGAATGTTGAAAGATTCCCAGCACTTAAAAAAAAAAAAAAAAAATACCTTCAAAATAAAAAATAAAAACTTTATGAAGAGTCATTTAAAAAAAAATCATTTCACTCAGTCCTGCGATCATTACGAAGTACTTCCCTCGGAACTTTACACACACACATCGCAGCACCCCCTCTACTTTTCAAAACCGTCCACTATCAGGATTGCCAAAAATGTACATAAATTAATTTATGCTGATTGATGAACCAGTGTTGTGTGTATTCATTTATGCGCAGTAATGTCTCTTCTATTTCATTTGCCAAGTTGTATCCAAACCGAACAACCTATTCCTGAGATAGTCAAAATGGCTAGAATCGTTCTGGAGAGGCCATGTCTGTGAATGAGACAAAGAGCATATGATCTTTTGGAATTCTACTTTCAAATATGACCGTTTTACTTTCACTAACTCGTCCGACAAAACAAGCCTCTATGAGGGTAAGATTGACCAAAATTAATATACACTGTAATGGAGACTGGATTAAAAAGATAATTCATCAGAAGTTTGTCTATATTTCTGAGATGAGGTATTATGTACATTATTTACATTATTCGGACTATTAAGATGAGGACAATAGTCCGAATAATGTAAATAATGTTCATCAGAAGTTTTATTTTATTCTGTTTTTATATATTTACTTCAAGCGTTTCTTGGTAGGGATGAACATTTTTCAGCATTCTCTTACAATCTTTTTGTTAAATCTATCTCTTCAGGACGAAGACGATTATGACTTCAGACTCTTTTTTTTCTTTCTGTATATTGTCATCTCTTCTCAGAAAAGAGAATAGTGGCTACCCTTTGCCTTTTGTCTCTTCTATGTGCCGTGTCCCTTTAGGGCGTGGACGATCATGACTCTGCACAACTTCCTACCAGTTTTAACCTTCATGGATAGGACCCACCATGCTAGGTACATTGTAGCAAACTACCCTCATTCTCCCCGTATTCCATCGATGAGAAGTAAGTTCCAATTGTGCAGCTTCTTTCCGCGAACCACTGTTCTGTGGAACCGTCTCCCAACAGGATGTTTTCCTAATCAATCTTAACCTGTTCAAGTTCAGATTTAAGTTATCTTCTCCATCGCATAAACTGTCTCTTCCTCTGTAACCCTCTACGTTGAGTGGATCCCGTGCTTTGTCAAAGATGAATCTCATTGTTAAAAAAAAAAAAAAAAAATGCAGTTCTTAGCAGTGTTTGTGTTTTTGCTGTCTCTCCTAACCCTTTTTATGCCAGCCATTTACACAAGCTTATTAAGTAGGTTATTCTCTGCTTTCATCTGACTCGTGAGTGTTAAATTTTCCATGTCCTCTTTCCTCATTATGCGCTCTAGAAATTTTAATTGTCTTTTTCCGATTCTAAGTGTTGTAACCTTGGGAAGGTTACTGAATAGAATAATCAAACGAAAGTTGATAATGAACGATAATACTTAGGACAAGAACGACACATATAAGATTCGCCAGTGGCGCGTAGAAGTCGTCAATTGTTAGAAGTGAGTC